GGAGAAGAGAGGAGGGGATAGGGTCAAGCGGGCAGGTTGTTGGGGCGGCCTGCCGTCACAAGTCGCAAGATTTTATCTGGAGAGAGAGGGGAGAAAGAAGTCAAAGCATAGGGTAGGGCAGTGTGAGCAGGACCAGCAGTGTCATTTGACTTAACAAACGAGGATTGGATGTCGTCAACCTTCTTTTCAAAATGGTTGACGAAGTCATCCACAGAGAGGGAGGAGGGGGGGGGGGATTCAGCAGGGAGGAGAATGTGGCAAAGAGCTTCCTTGGGTTAGAGGCAGATGCTTGGAATTTAGAGTGGTAGAAAGTGGCCTTAGCAGCAGAAACAGATGAAGAAAATGTAGAGAGGAGGGAGTGAAAAGATGCCAGGTCCGCAGGGAGTCTAGTTTTCTTCCATTTCCGCTCAGCTGCCCGGAGCTCTGTTCTGTGAGCTCGCAATGAGTCATCAAGCCACGGAGCTGGAGGGGAGGACCGAGCCGGCCGGGAGGATAGGGGACATAGAGAGTCAAAGGATGTAGAAAGGGAGGAGAGGAGGGTTGAGGAGGCAGAATCAGGAGATTGGAGGGAGAAGGATTGAGCAGAGGGAAGAGATGATAGGATGGAAGAGGAGAGAGTAGCGGGAGAGAGAGAGCGAAGGTTGCGACGGCGCATTACCATCTGTGTAGGGGCAGAGTGAGTAGTGTTGGAGGAGAGGGAGAGAGAAAAGGATACAAAGTAGTGGTCGGAGACTTGGAGGGGAGTTGCAGTGAGATTAGTAGAACAACAGCATCTAGTAAAGATGAGGTCAAGCGTATTGCCTGCCTTGTGAGTAGGGGGGGACAGTGAGAGGGTGAAGTCAAAAGAGGAGAGGAGTGTAAAGAAGGAGGCAGAGAGAAATGAGTCAAATGTAGACGTAGGGAGGTTGAAATCCCCCAGAACTGTGAGGGGTGAGCCATCCTCAGGAAAGGAATTTATCAAGGCGTCAAGCTCATTGATGAACTCTCCAAGGGAACCTGGAGGGCGATAGATGACAAGGATATTAAGCTTAAATGGGCTAGTGACTGTGACAGAATGGAATTCAAATGAGGAGATAGACAGATGGGTCAGGGGAAAAATTGAGAATGTCCACTTGGGAGAGATGAGGATTCCTGTGCCACCACCCCGCTGACCAGATGCTCTCGGGGTATGCGAGAACACATGGTCAGACGAGGAGAGAGCAGCAGGAGTAGCAGTGTTTTCAGTGGTAATCCATGTTTCCGTCAGCGCTAAGAAGTCGAGGGACTGGAGGGTAGCATAGGCTGAGATGAACTCTGCCTTGTTGGCAGCAGAACGGCAGTTCCAGAGGCTGCCTGAGACCTGGAACTCCACGTGGGTCGTGCGTGCAGGGACCACCAGGTTAGAGAGGCAGCAGCCACGCGGTGTGAGGCGTTTGTGTAGCCTGTGCGGAGAGGAGAGAACAGGGATAGGCAGAGGCATAGTTGACAGGCTGCAGCAGATGGCTACAATAATGCAGAATAGATCGGAATGAAATGAACTAAACATCTGGGAAAGGAGAGAGCGGGGCCTCCCTCACCACAACTCCCAAATATAACTCTCCCAACTTCCACCTCAGAAACTATAATTGTTGTAAACTACAGCGGTTCAATGTTTTCTAGGAATAGACTAACTTAGTTTATTCAGCTAGCTAACTAGGTGCAGTATTATTCCGTGAAAAACGTCCGGGCACCTCGTCATAAGACGCCACAGCCAGCTAGCATGCCGGTCTCCAACAACACGGTTTAGCGCCAATACACGGCCACAACAAACCACCAGTGTATCAACACGCAAGCAGATCGTTCGTGTCCGTGTCTAACGTTGTGGGTTAGTCCCGACAGCTTGAGCGAGTCCGTCGTCAACTTATTCAGCCAGTTAGTTAGCTAGAATAGTTATCAAACTAGCTAGCCATTGCTTTCAGACAAAGAAGAACCCCTCCTTTCACGGCACGAACACACAGAGAGAGCCAAACTAACGTTAACTAGTCACCCATGTCCCGAATTCCTTGAACGACTCGGGCTATCAATATGTAAAAAAACAAAACACAAGTGTAGGTTATGACTTACCCCTAGCAGCTACTGTTAGCTAGCCAAGTGCAAAGCTAGCCACTGAATTGACTCAGCCAGTTCGCGTCTGTTCGCTCGGTCGTTCCAGCTATTGTTTACTAGTAGCTATCCAGGTAGTAACAAGCTAGCTAAATTTCAAGCACAGTAGCCACTTGCTACCTAACCTAAACGGAGCATGGATCACAACTGAGACGAAACAGGGATATTGCTAGCTGAAGTATATGTTTATTAAAAGTTGTTAAACCTACACCCCAGTTTGCATTATACAAGGAACAAACATAACATGTAGTAACCTCAGACTTTTACAATCTGCAGCACTGGCAAGACTGTTTTAGAAAAAGGGAAGCTATCCCGTTACTCATACTACTACGACTACATCAATGGCTCTTTCCCCCAGATGTTTATTTTCTCTAGTTCCATAGACCATGGTAATGTGCTAGGCCTCGGGGCACCTATTGTTTGGTTTATAAACACTTGGGAGCCTCAGTCCAGGCTTCACTGTCTAAAGCCAAGGCTGAACATGCCCTGGGGTGTCTGTCTGTTTGGGAAGTTATTGCTGTGGTAACCATCAGGCAATATGTCTGGGGCTTTATAGGCCTACACACTTAGGGCCAAATCCTAACTCGAAATGTGAATTGTGTTACAATGGCTGTTGTAGTTTATTGTTCGTTTTGTGAAAGAAACCTGACATTTCTTAGTTTAAAGCAAAGACTAATGTTGATTTCTGTGTTGTTTATACAGCATACGCACAAATCCAGACACACCAGATTCTGCAGCAGCATAAACAGCAGCAGCTTGTGTTCCAGCAGCATCACCAGACCCAGGAGCTTCCTCTGAGGGGCCAGGCCCCAGTGCTGCACACAGCCTCCATCCACAGCCACTCTCAAGCCCAGATGCTACAGGCCCTGGCTATCAAATCAAATCAAATTTTATTTGCCACATGCGCCGAATACAACAGGTGTAGACATTACAGTGAAATGCTTACTTACAAGCCCTTAACCAACAATGCAGTTTAAGAAAAAAATTAAAATAGCAAATAATTAAAGAGCAGCAGTAAACTAAAATAACAGTGGGGAGGTTATATGCAGCCCAAGCAGAGACCTGTCCCTGTGCTGTCCAAACCCCCTGTTTCTGCGCCTGTTCCCAGCCAGCACACCACTATCTCCACCATCAGCCCCCAGATCTTTACATCTTACGTCATTTAGCAGACGCTCTTATCCAGAGCGACTTACAGGAGCAATTAGGGTTAAGTGCCTTGCTCAAGGGCACATCGACAGATTTGTCGGCTCGGGGATTAGAACCAGCAACCTTTCGGTTACTGGCTCAACACTCTTAACCACTAAGCTACCTGCCGCCCCACAACGTGCCAATCCCCGTCACCCAGACCCAGGCTGCCCCTCTGCCCAACGCTAAGCTAGGGAAGCTGGCTGCAGTCAACCTCCAGATCCAGCCAACAGCTCCTACACCGGACTCTCAGCTGGTTCAGGAGAGTGCTAGGAGCTTCCCACATCTGAGATAGTCACGGAGAACAGTTACACTTCCCTCGTACAGCAGCCAACAGCCCCTCCTACTCTTGAGGTCATCACTACTGAGCAATGCCCATCGGACCCCAGCAACCCCACCACACACACTGGAGGTAGATATTACTGTATATTTTATATGTCACTTAAGGTTGCATCTCAAAGTCATTGGACTTATGGATGACCAGAAGCCTTGACTGGCTGTTCAATTTGATACAGTAATGTGAAGTCCCACCCATCCACACACTTGGCAGAGAGGGGTTCACACTCCCTCCCTCCCTCACTCACAGACTCACTCCGTCTGTAGGCCTAGGCAGCCCAGGCACAATGGCCATCCCAACTCCAGCACTCCCCTCAAGCGGAAGACTAAATTTGTCACGCCCCAGAGTCCATTGTCCTGCCCCACCACTTGGGGGAACGTGACAGCTTTAGCCATAATTAGGGGAGAGGGGCCGGGCTTTGTCATTCTCCCCATGGGATAGGGGGGAGAAAGGAGCACTTGTCATGTCTGGCAGGTGTATCCGTGCAAGGCCCATCCACATTCAAACATGAATAATATACAGCAGTGGAGGCTGTTGAGGGGAGGACGGCTCATAATAATGACTGGAACGGAGTAAATGGAATGGCATCAAACACATGGAAACCATGTGTTTGATGTATTTGATACCATTCCACCAATTCCGCTCCAGCCATTACCACAAGTCCGTCCTCCCCAATTAAGGTACCACCAACCTCCTGTGATATACAGTACTTTCAAGAGGCCAGGAGGCTGTTACTCAGCAGATACTGAAGAGTGGCCAACACTGCCACTTGGCTGCTTCGAGTTAGAGCAGAACACCATGTGATCAGGGCACTCCTTCTCTAAGTGTTATTATTAGGTGGTCCATATTATAACCTTGATCAAGCAAGACCAGTGATGCCTTGGACCAAGCCTCAAGGGCCAGCATGTCTGCTTATGGACATCTTGTGACAGCTGAATTAAATAATGTATTTGTCAGAAAAACTTGCTATGTCTGACATATAATGAACATTGTCTTTACCATGTATGGCGTTTTTTGACATAATGACAAGATATTAAAACATTTGAGGCCCTATACCTCTAGGCCCATAGCTCAAAAGTTTAGAAAATTCATCTTTCAACAACATTTCCCATTCCAATGATTTGTCTCTAAATCAAGGAAAATGTTATTTTTACATACTGGCTTTCACTTCTGTTTTACCAATATATTTCTCAAATAATGTGGTAGATTAAACTGGAAAGGAGTGGGAGAGGAAAATAGTCAGCCATTCCAACCAATCAGAGAGGAAGTCCGTTTGAGATACTCTCTGCCATTGGATCACATTCCAAATAGCATGGGCCAATGGAGGGGGCGCTTTATTTTCTATTCACTTCCCGCATACAAAGGGGATTAAAGTGTGTACTGTGTGCTTGCTGCAGGGGTAATAGGGACGGAACAAACAGAAGACGGCACGTTAAAACGCTGGAATGATTGCATTGTTTGTGTAACTTCTACTAATGTAACGGGTGCGTATTTCCACGGAATATTATAGTTTTTTTTAGCACATTATTTGTTTGCTTCATGTTGCCTAGGCAGAGGGGATATGAAAGGAAGGGTTGTTTGGAGCAGTGGAACAAAAGAGTGTTCTTTCGCTCGGTGTTGACCATTGTCAGGGCGCTTGAATCAGTTATCAGAGGCCCTATATTTGTAATTTCTTGTGGCGGGTTTCTTGATTTAAATTGGTGTTCAAACTTGGTCACATTTAGTTTTAAGCAGATGTCGACAAAACCTTTGTATTTTGTTATTATTGATTAACAATACGAATGTGGGATAATCAACAACTTGCGTAATGATTAGTTGTTACAATACACATTCTTTGTATGAAATAGATTCTGTTGACAAATAGTTTTGTAGGCCTAGATGTAGAATTAAGCGGGGAGGAAAGTAAACAAACAATTTCGAAAGTGGTCCAGATATTCTGCTGGAATCATTCTCCGCTGCGTAAAATTTTCCCAGATTCATCAACGACATGATTGGTCATTCACTTTTTAACTATTTTATTTTTGTATATATCAGTACCGACTCCTGCATGATGTCAGTCAACATTTGACATATAAATATCTAATTTTATTTACTCGCATTCGAATATTATTATTCCCTGTAGGTAAGGGAGACGCTGAGGGGCTGAATGCGCAACCAGGTGCAGGCTCGCTTCCAGTCATGACCTCGGGGAATGGGAACAATGCGCCAACGGTTACCGGCAGCACCCCGCATAATGGCGAGAGCAAACCGCCCCAGGCAATAGTGAAACCCCAGATCCTCACCCACGTCATTGAGGGATTTGTGATCCAGGAGGGAGCCGAGCCTTTCCCTGTAAGTAGTAGGATAATGAAGAAGCTTTCCATCCACTGGGCACATGGCTGTTCAGAAACACACAACACATTTGTGAGGTGGGCCAGTTAGCCCTGTCCATGAGACGGAGTACACTTCCCTCTAGTGGACAAAATTAGACTAAAACCTCCATTCTGCACTGTTCAACATTTTACTATGGGTGTAAGCAGCATGTGTGAAGTGTCTGTCCTTTCAGGTGGAACGTCCGTTGTCGTTGCTGATCGAGAACCTGAAGAAACACAAACAGCAAACACATTCTGACTCAGAGAAGACTACCTCCTTCAATAACGCCACAGACTCTGAGATGGAGGACTTATCACACCAAGGTAAAGGGCCAGCCAGGAGGACATAGGACTGCACAATGAATCGAATTCACATCAAAATTGCAATACTGACGTGCCATATCCCATATTGCAAGATATCCATATCGCATGCAATATTTTGAAATGCTACTCAGCCGCGTGTAAAGTCAGTTTTTATAGTTTACTCCGTTTGTCGTCTCTCTCCCTCTCATCTTGCGGCTGCTTCCCACACATACCAAGCCCTGCCCACTGTCACGCAAGCAGCGCAGTTCCTCCTCCTCGCTGTTAGAGTCACTATAAGTTTGCATGATGTTCTTATAGGTCAAATGCAGTCAGCAGATTGTACCAAACAAGAATGATGCTACTTTCCACTTTATGTTTTAATATAAATGTCTATTTCTATGATTCCAGTTCACCCAAGTATTTTGATCTATATCGCAAGTCAAGTTTTTTTGCCCATATCGTGCAGCCCAAGGAGGACATCTTGCTTGGCCCACTCTATAAACCCAGAAGTTTCTCATTGTGTCATTGGCTACCTGGCTTCAGAATCCCACCTCTGCTGGAATTTCATTGGCTCATTGTTTCACAATTGTTTGCACAAATTGGCACTTGGATATGTAGCCATGCCACTCACTCACTGCCTGTCATGCCAACTGGGATTCAGTGTTAATACCCACCTTATTTTTTACCACTGCATCCCTGGTTCCCATTTGTTGATGTGTTGCTGGGCAGAGCTGAAGCAGCAGGAGGAGCCCACCCTGACGTGTGAGCTGTGTGGCAGAGTGGACTTTGCCTACAACTTCAAGAGATCCAAGAGGTTCTGCTCCACAGTGTGTGCCAAACGGTAAGGCCTGGGTAGAGAAGATGCTGGGACTGAGATCTGGGGTGTATTCATTAGGAACCAAATGGAACGCACGGAATGTAACAGGGAGGGACTATTTGAACTTGTCCAATTTTCTTTTCCCATTGTAAAAGGTTTTGCTAAGGTGTGGTCTAATGCAGTGGTTGCCAAACTGTGGGGCGCGGCCCCTAGTCCGGCTTTAAACTTGAAAGTTGTAATATTAGAATGCACAAGGTGCAATTTTGAAATTGGGTTGTGCATCATCAGTTCCTCTTCATGTTAGTCATTGCATACCTTAGAGCTATTTAGAACTTGTCTAGATCAGCTAGCCCATGTCGGCTAACGTTTTCTTTTTTGCCCATAGATATTGCAAATTTTTTTGTCAACCAAATACAGTATCACATGAATACACATCAGACATGGCAAAATGTATAGAATTGCAAGAACATTTGCTGTAAAACTGCAAAATGTTATTTGCACCCCATGACAAAATGTGTAGAATTGCAGGAAATGAGCTTCAAACCTGCAAAGTTCTCTCCACCAACAAGAGGGATGTGAACAGTTTGTGTCATGAACAGTGCTTGTGCCCATAGAAATAGACGTGGTGCGTGCAGGGGTGACGCGGGATGTTCCCCAATGCTGGAAGGGGGGCCCAGAGTGAAAAAGTTTCAAAATGACATGTTTGTCAGCAGTTGTTGCTGTAGTATCTGCAGCAGTAGTACACATGTACGTGCAGAAATAACAAATGAATAGCTTGTTCTTTACTTTAGCCTATAATTTGTTTCTCCGATTTGTTTTGAGTAGATCCACAATTAAACGGCTTGCTCAGCTTCTGACATACTTGATTACCCAAGTTACTTGTTGATACATTGTCCACCCCCCCCCCACCTCATTTCATTTTTGTGCAGGTATAATGTGGGGTGTACAAAGCGAATGGGCCTCTTTCCAAATCGACAAACCACCATGGAGAAACTGAAGAAGCAAAGAATGTTGGATGGAAACCAACAGAAGTCAAGTTCAGAAACCAAAAAACAGGTGAAACGGCACTGTTCAAAATAGAGAATAAATACGTTATTTGACTTTAAAAACGTATTTCCGTTGAGGCCCTCTTTCTGGCTAGAATGGCAAGGCAGGTTGAAGCAAACCTGTCCCATATGATAACTTAAAAGCTAAACCCTTCCTGTGTTTTCAGACTCCCACCACTGGCCAACAAACTGGCGGTGGGTCGTTGACGTCCAGCCACCCCTCTCACGGGGAGTCCAGCCAGTGTTCGGACATGTCCAGCTACGATGGTCCCCCTTCGCCCCCCCTGTCTGCTGCCAGCTTCGGTGCTTCCAGGCCCCAGGTGGGCGGAGGGCCTGAGCACATGGAGGGCTATGGACAAAAGCTGCCCCTCCTCTCCCAGCACTTCCTGCCCAGCAACCCAGCCAAGTGGAACGTGGAGGACGTCTACGAGTTCATCTGCTCCCTGCCAGGTTGGCACTGCCACATTTGCCACATACCCCAACAGATGCTTAATATCAGCCAAAATGGTGGAGTAGCAGTCCCATACAGCAGTGGTCACCAACATTGTTATTGGATATGCAGGGTGTGCAGGCTTTTGTTTTGCCCAGTAGTTAAACACACCTACTTCAGCCAACAAACTTTAGTCTTTTGATTAGTTCAAATCCAAATTAAATCAAACTTTAGTTAAAGAGGCTAAAGTTTCAAAGTTTATTTTGCACATGATACAGCAGGTGTAAAACAGAGTGAAATGCTTACTTGCAAGCTCTTTCCCAGCAATGCACTATGAATCATGGGTATCGGGTCCAGGAACAAGATTGGTGACCTGACCTCTGTCATAAATCAAGTGACAAAGGAGGGATGTTTAGAAAAGACTTGCCTGAAACCTGTTGGTTGTGTGTAATGTTATTTTCTTTAAGCTAATTGACGAGTGGCCGTTTGATTTGTTCCCAGGTTGCCTGGAGATAGCCGAGGAGTTCCGCTCGCAGGAGATCGATGGCCAGTCCTTGCTGCTGTTGAAAGAGGACCACCTCATGGGCACCATGAACATTAAACTGGGGCCTGCGCTCAAGATCTTTGCCCAGATCAGTATGCTGAGAGACTCGTAGCCCCTCTCTGGAGTCGCTAAACACTGCAGGAAAAGACAATGTTCTCTGGACCCCTCAACTCTGACCATGCTCAAGCCTCCCACTGTGGCAGGTGGGTTCCAGGGTGGTGGCGGATGGACGAAGGGTGTGTCTCTGTCCCATAGAAGATGATTGTCTATAGGATATTGACAGCGCTATCGAAGTTTAGAGCTTTGACTCTGTGGACGTCTCCTATGCCATGCAGGAACCGTTAGCTACTGTATGAGTTGTACTGTGGATGGTATACTATGCACAAGTAGCTCACCCAGCCAGACTCCAAGTGGACAACAAGGTGGTACTTTAGTTCAGAAATGCCATAACTAGTAGTCAGTTTCTAAGAATTGTGAGATAGTTGCATCGTATAACTTTTCCATAGATAATATATTTTTGGTTCTTGACTGGAAGTTGTTGTTTAGGGCATTTTGGTCTTGGCGGAAAGTGGTTGAATACCTGCCTAGGACTGTATTTTACAGTTCATGCCTTGAATAGGATGTAATTAAGTATTTTTTAAAATATATAAATTCAACAAAATATCCTAAGACATTATTGCATCCTTGTTTTCTTTTTAAAAGATCCAGTGTTTTGAGGATTGCAAATTGGAATAACTTTGTTCACTTTCTCAATTTGCACCTCATTTATTGTCCTGTCAATATTCTTTCTACTTCTGTGAAGGCCATTTTCAAAGGGACAAGTTGTAACAATATGTAATAGTCTGTCCTAACTGACCTCAAAGTAGTGTCCCTGGCCTCCAGAAATCGTGACTAATGGCAATGGATTTACTGTTTATTAACTTGGTGTGAAAGCAAGAAAAAGTAACTGTCATTCCAAGTTTGTATTATTTCATGTGATGTACTACTAGAGGTTTAATTTGGCAGGAACATTGTGGAGGGACGTTCAGGTTCCCTCACCTGGGGCCTCATGTACAAAGACTTGCGTTGAATTCATACTAAAACATTGCGTACGGACAAAGCCATAAATGTGCGTACGCACCAAAAAAATCTGATGTATGAATCTCTGCGTACGCAGCATTCCACATACATTCTCTTTGTACATCCCAATCAACGCGAAATTGAGCGCACATGCACGAGCACCACACCACACCCTGTCTCCTCCCTCAATTAAATCAATTTAAATATGGTAATTAGTCCAATTTGGCAAAAGAAACCTGCAAGAACATGGCTAAAGCAAGCAAGAAACGAAATTTCACTGAAAACGAATTAGAGGTGCTACTATCAGAGGTAGAAACAAGAAAAAATATTTTATTTGGAAATCTGTCCTCTGGAATTAATAACAAAAGAAAGAAAAAAGAGTGGGCGAGTTTGTCTGATGCCGTCAACGCGGTGGGATCTGAGAGTCGCACCGTAAATGAACTGAAGAAGAAATGGTCAGACATAAAGGTGGAAGTTAAGCGGAGAACTGCTGCGCACCGACAAAGTGTGGGCAGAACAGGCGGTGGTACAGGGACCGATGAACTTGCACCCTTTGATCAGAGAGTTGCCTCTATTGTAGGAGACACGTTAATCTCTGGAATCGTATCCGCTGATGTAGGAGACTCGGATATACTACAGGACTGCCAGCAAGGTGACTCAGATTTATTTCCTTAACTTTGATATACATAGCCAGCCACCGTTTAATTTTAAAATGCATGCAATATAGCAAAAGGTACACCAGAGATTTCACGTATCCACTGCTTTTATTGCAAATGCGTGTACCCATTAATAAGGAACAGACTCAAATTACTGTTAAGATGTGCCTGTGTTTAATTGGACTTAGGAACCGCAGGAACGTCCACTGGCACGCACTCAGAGTCCGCACCACCTGAGCAGCCAGAGCCCATTCAGTCCAGCGTCTCCCGTGTCTCTAATGTTCCCCCCAGTGCTGAAGCCCGTCCATCTGGCCGTGTCTTGACGCATGCTGTTCTGGAGTCACAACAACAAATTGTTAGGGCCATTGAAGAAATGAACAGTCACCTTAAAAATGTCACTGACGCACTCACAGAAATAAGCCATTCATTAAAAGAATTGGTCAAAAAATGAACTTTGTGTCTGAGTACCATTTATATTGTCGCAATTACACGTTGACGGGCCTGAATGGCTTGTTGATTGTGCTGCACATATACTGGTCCTGGGTCAGGGTCATCTGGCGGTGCCCCCACCTCACCAATGGGTATGCCATGCCTGTGCGCGACATTGTGCAGCACTCCACAGGCCAGTATGATGCGGCAAACCTTGTCAGGGCGGTATAACAGCATCCCCCCGGTCCTGTCAAGGCAGCGCCACCGACATTTCAGCTGCCCAATCGCCCGCTCCACAACTGACCGAGTGCGGGAATGGGCATCATTGTATCTGCGCTCTCGGTCAGTTTGTGGGTTGGTGAGGGGGGTTAACAGCCACGTCTTTAGTGGATAACCACTGTCTCCTGATGGGCAGTAATAATAATTACAGACACAAACATTTTACTTTTAGATAGAACCATACATTTAAATGCATAACTTACCAAGTAGCCACCCATCGCGCACCCTGCCAGCTTGGAGTCTCATCCCAACCATGCTGTTTGTAAGGATATATGAATCATGGGTTGACCCAGGCCACCTTGCCACAATATTTGTTAGGCGCATTTGTGCATCACATATAATCTGCACATTTATTGAATGGAAATGTTTCCGATTCACATATGCAAATTCGTCTTCAGATGGCGCCTTTATAGCAATATGTGTGCAGTCGATCGCTCCGATTACATTAGGAAAACCGGCTATCGCTGCAAATTGCGCTTTGATGTTTGGCTGGTCACCTGCATCGTATGGGAACGTTATATACCTGGTAGACAAGCGGATGATGCCGTCCCATACAGGTGGCATTGCACGGCTCAAACACGACTGGCTTATTCCTGAGCGGTCTGCCAGTTCTCTTTGGAAAGAACCGGTTGCTAGGAAACCAAGTGTAGTAAGCACCTGTAAAGGAACGGGTAATGCGTGGCTCCTCACTGTCTCTCTTTCCAAATTCGGACCCAACTCAGCGCAGAGCTCCAAGAGTATAGCCCTTGGAAATCTGAAACGGCTGATGAGCCAGTCATCGTCGTGGGCCAGAAAATCACCGTGGTCCCTAAAAACTCGTTCTCTCCGGATTTGTCCATTGAAAATGTCTTCTAATAAAGCCAAAGCTGCCATTGCTAGACGGGTTGTATCAATTTTCACATCCTTTATATATGTTCTTACTTAATTGCATAATTAATAGAATATTCTAATAAGACTCGTGTGACAATAATATGGCAAATCATTTATCAATTACAAATTATAAGCAATATCTGGCAGGTGCGATAGAACAGTTCGTAGTGTAATGTTTGCCACTTCACTTTATTGCCTCTATGAGTCGCCAACGGACAAACATCACAAAAATGTACGTACGCCAGGCCTGAAGTTTACGTGGAAGAACGCACATTCTTACGTTAATTTCACTGTTAGTACATCTGACCGTGAACGTGAAAGCTGGCGTACGCCGTGTTTTCGTGCGTACGCAAGATTGATACATGAGGCCCCTGTTGTGGATGAAAAACCTCAGTGACATTTTGAATAGATTGGTGGGTTAAAATGATCCATAAATGAATCGATTTTTGGGGCCACCACCATTCCCAATTCCATTTGGTACTCTGTTTTGAATTAAAGGGTAGAGTGGCCAAACGGAAGCCAATCCTCAGTAAAAGGCAAATAACAGCCCGCTTGGAGTTTGCCAAAAGGCACCTATAGGACTCACAGACCACGAGAAACATGATTCTCTGGTCAGATGAAACCAAGATCGAACTCTTTGGCCTGAATGCCAAGTGTCACGTCTGGAGGAAACCTGGCATCATCCCTAAGGTGAAGCATGGTAGTGGCAGCATCATGCTGTGGAGATGTTTTTCAGGGACTGGGAGATTAGTCAAGATCGAGGGAAAGATGAACGGAGCAAAGAACAGAGACGTCCTTGATGAAAACCTGCTCCAGAGAGCTTAGGACCTCAGACTGGGGCGAAGGTTCACCTTTCAACAGGACAATGACACAAAGCACACCGCCAAGACAACGCAGGAGTGGCTTCGGACAAGTCTCTGAATGTCCTTGAGTGGCCCAGCCAGAGCCCGGACTTGAACCCGATCTAACATCTCTGGAGAGACCTGAAAATAGCTGTGCAGCTACGCTCCCCATCCAACCTGATAGAGCTTGACGGGATCTGCAGAGAATAATGGAAGAAACTCCCCAAATACAGGTATGCCAAGCTAGTAGCGTCATACCCAAGAAGACTCGAGGCTGTAATCGGTGCCAAAGGTGCTTCAACAAAGTACTGAGTAAAGGGTCTGAATACTTATAGAAATGTGATATTTCTGTTTTCAATTTTTTTATAAATTTACAAAAAGATCTTAAAACCTGTTTTTGCTTTGTCATTATGGGGTATTGTGTGTAGATTGATGAGGATATAGTTGATATGTAGCTACCTGATGGCTGTTTCACGTAGTCTTTTTCCTCTAATTGTTTGAATGCTTCTTTGTGGACACTGTTCAGGTGAACTTTCAAGCTGGAAAGGGTTTTCCCTTTGATCTCCGCACCATACAGGCTATCAACTAACATGACAATACATGTACTTTTGTCTCTCACATCAATGTACTCAAAATAATCCCATATGGGGCTTTGTCGCTATTGACCGAACACTGATGGTTTAGAGTTTGCTGCCGCCATTGTTCACGCTCCGCGCGCCCTTTGGCTAGCCTAACTACCTAGCAGATTTCTTCCCTGTTAGCTAGTCATAGCTAGTGGTAATCGACTATAATTTTTTATTAAACAACAGCAACAAGCAAAACACAAACTTAACAGCCAGAGGGATTACACACACACAAAAAAAAAAAAATATATATATATATAGTTGAAGTTGGAAGTTTACATACACATAGGTTGGAGTCATTAAAACTTGTTTTTCAACCACTCCACAAATTTCTTGTTAACAAACTATAGTTTTGGCAAGTCGGTTAGGACATCTACTTTGTGCATGACACAAGTAAGTATTCCAACAATTGCTTACAGACAGATTATTTCACTTATCATTCACTGTATCACAATTCCAGTGGGTCTGAAGTTTACATACACTAAGTTGACTGTGTCTTTAAACAGCTTGGAAAATTCCAGAAAATGATGTCATGGCTTTAGAAGCTTCTGATAGGCTAATTGACATCACTTGAGTCAATTGGAGGTGTACCTGTGGATGTATTTCAAGGCCTACCTTCAAACTCAGTGCCTCTTTGCTTGATATCATGGGAAAATCTAAAGAAACCAGCCAAGACCTCAGAAAAAAAATGGTAGACCTCCACAAGTCTGGTTCATCCTTGAGAGCAATTTCCAAACGGCTGAAGGTACCACGTTCATCTGTACAAACAATAATACGCAAGTATAAACACCATGGGACCACGCAGCCATCATGCCGTTCAGGAAGGAGACGCGTTCTGTCTCCTAGAGATGAACGTACATTGGTGCGAAAAGTGCAAATCAATCCCAGAACAACAGCAAAGGACCTTGTGAAGATGCTGGAGGAAACAGGTACAAAAGTATCTATATCCACAGTAAAACGAGTCCTATATTGACATATCCTGAAAGGCCGCTCAGCAAGGAAGAAGCCACTGCTCCAAAACTGCTATAAAAAAGCCAGACTACGGTTTGCAACTGCAAATGGGGACAAAGATCATACTTTTTGGAGAAATGTCCTCTGGTCTGATGAAACAAAAATAGAACTGTTTGCCCATAATGACCATCGTTATGTTTGGAGGAAAAGGGGGGTTGCTTGCAAGCCAAAGAACACCATCCCAACCGTGAAGCACAGGGGTGGCAGCATAATGCTGTGGGGGTGCTTTTATGCAGGAGGGACTGGTGCACTTCACAAAATAGATGGCATCATGAGGAAGGAATATTATGTGGATTTATTGAAGCAACATCTCAAGACATCAGTCAGGAAGTTAAAGCTT